GGAGCTCCTGTGGGAGATTATATTGACGAGATCAAGGAAGGATGAAGATAATCGTTTCTCTTATCAGCAATCGAGTTCTCGGTACACCCCGAAATTCACAAAATTTCCCGTCTGTCACACAAAAACATCAAAAACGTCAGGAGCTTTATCGCTCGGAAAAAAAAAATTTCGTGTTCGATTATTGGATCGTACAAATTTGTGACACCGGTCGAACCGAGATTTTTAATGCGCTTCGATAAAGATCATTCCACCGACCACGCGTTTTCATCATGGCGGTTTACGTAATAAATAAATTCTGTGAAAAAAGTATAATCTCTGTATTGTTTACCGAGGGAAAATGTCTTCTTCACAAGATGATCGTAAAGTAAAAGGGGGTTGAACGAATGGAATCGATCAACTCATCCCCCTATATACTGTATATGCATTCATTCATTTTTGTGAATTACTGCATATACGATCACTTTTCGACAATAACTAATTATGGTGTCCAAATGTCAATCGAGTTTACCACAAATGGGATGTGCCTCGTTTCGAGAGCCCAATTATTTACTGTATTATTATTATTCTCATCCTTACTCTTAGTCAGGTGTTTGTGGTTAGTTGGTAAGCCAAATCAACTTCTTTTCGCATAATGATGCTAATAGAGAACAATGTTCGAGATCTACGGGGGTTTTTTTTTATTTTTTGCTATAAAGTTAAAACAAAAACAGAATGCCAGAATGCGTGAGATTTTTCATGATACGCACATGAACTTAACTTACTTAAAATTCAGTCTTGTGATGTTTACCGACGGTTTAGGCTGTTATGTAACGTAAATCGTTTCACACGCAACGACCACCTCTCGAAACTCGTTCAATGTGATTTCATGCATACAGGAATTTTGGGTTTTGATCCTCTATTAAAAGGAAAGAGGTCCTGTACACAACACCTCTTTACACACACAAACTTTGCCTAAGAATCGCGCGTGAGAGTTTCCAGATATACTGTACATATTGATGGCAATTATTACCTTTTGCATGCAAGGACATGGGACATGTGAAAATTTGATCGTGAGGTTATATACATATACAATTTTGGCTATCATTTGCCGAAACTCTTATCTAACAATAATGTTACCAATCGTGATCGCTACAATAGACAAGTTTACAATTATTGACCAGGAACCAACACCGGTAAGCGAGCACGTGCAATAAAATTTCTTTAATTTCCAACTAAATTGACGCTCTATAATTGGTGAATCACATAATAGCTTTTTTGATCATAAACCGTGTGTCTCATATTATATCATAACCGTCCTTCCTTAATCGGGAAACACGAGGATGGAACGAATGATTTCTCGATGATGTATAAGGAAATTCGTAAATACAATGTTTTTTAACTCCACGAAAACGTGTTGATACATACGTAAAAAAAAGGTTTAACCCTTTTGAAAACCCGCAAAGGCGATGTCCATACACACACAGGATCATCCCCACATACTAACTCACGTAATTTAGTTAATTCAAAGATGTTTCTGCCCGGATTGTAATTATGTGCATTCTGACCATGCATTCTCGGGTTTACATCGAATTGTGTTTAAAGAAGGTTATGTGACATGCTGACAAACCTCGAGGACCTTACCCATTTTCGGAATTCTCCTCGCGAAATATAGAAATTTCGAGCGTGAAGAATATGTCTGACAAAGATAACGTGATGTTCATCGATCAATTCATTTCGTAACTATGAATATCAAATTTCGTGAAGTTGATGTCATTAATATACCACATATATACTGTATATATAGCAGTAACAAACCTTAAAACGATGCATACTTTGCCACACATACATTTTTCTTTTCAATTGATTAAAAAAAAAAAAAAGAAACTTTTTTCCAATTCGAATTCAAAAATACTAACTGTAAATAAAGTATGAATTGTAGTAAGCACACCCAGCTTTACCTTTGACTCAAAAAGATTGATTAGATATATGCCGTGTCTCGGCGTGCATGTGAAAAGCTTGATGAATAATTGGCGGTTACATAATCCAACCCAAAATTCATTTGATTTTTTTAACTGATGGTTTTATATGCAGTAGATTGATGAAGCCAGATGGTAGAATGGTGTTAAATAAAAAATTTTTTTAAATCTTTAGATAAAATTATTTATTTATTGCATTAATCAATATACACGTTGTGTCTACGTGTATTTACTCACTGTATATTAATAATGGTTTATCATCAAATTCGTATTTTACAATTTGTACTATCTTTATTATTAATTCTGTAAAAAAATAAAAATATATATTTGAATTAAAATTTGTCAAATAAATTTAAAATATAAATTAATTATTACTCTCCAACCTTGGCACACTTTGGCACACCTGCCTTTTATGGAGATTGTCTAAAGCGGGCAAATCACGTGATTTGCGATTTCTGAAAATAACATGTCAACATTACATCATCATACATTGTTTTTAGAGAAAAAAAAATAAAAATTTCTTTACCAATTCCTAATGTCTTCAGCTTCTTCTTCTTTAGCTCCTTTAATTATAACATCAACATCAAATCTCACACCAGACAAAAAGTGGGATCTTCTTTTCAATGTAGATCATACTTTAGAGATTCCAATGGAGGTTTTTAATAATGAGTAGTGGCCATTAGTATCAAATATTTGGATGAAGTGGGACCTTTATAAATATGTAAATGGTAATGTTCGTAAAATTTTCGCCTGTCATTTTATGAAGCACCGTGAATCGAGTACCCATCAAAAAAAAAATATCCCAAATAAAAAATGCCGACTAACCAAGACACAGCCACCTGGTATATGTTCTGTGATGATCAAAGTTTTATAGATAGTTTCTTCAGAGAAAATTCAAGTGGAGTGATATAATAACACCTTCAACTATACACATTCTTTACTGGAAGTCGATATAATGAAACGGCCAAAAGTTATTAAAGATCTAGTTGAAATAGAAACGGCCAAAAATTATTCGCCTCGCAATCACATCTGCTGTCAAGGAATATACAATGTTGGAGTTAAGTCTTGGTGAATGTACGCATGAGCTGAAGTGCAAAGAAGTAGCGAACATTAAATACAAAGTTCGCAGGCTTGCAGAAACTTATTTTAAGAGAAATCCAAATTTAAAATTAGATATTTTGGAATCCGGTTCTTATTTAACAGAACAGGGGTATTTTGTTGAAAATTAT